AAGCCGCGCGCCGTCGTCGCCCTTCTGTCCCTTCAGGATCCGGGGGCCCCTCCCCTCGTCTCGGGTTCGGTGTGGCGCAGGTTGGGTGCTGGGTCCTCGGGGGTGCAGACTCCAGGGCTCCCCTTTTTTTTAAGCGATCGCGGGGCCGCGTTTGGAAAACGAGGGGATTAGGAGTACTACGGTTCTATTGGGGCGCTTGTTTTTCCCTTGAAAAGAAAGACTAGAAAAGGCCGAGGGTGTTGTTTTCTTCGTGTGCGCGTAAATCTCCTCCCTTGCCTCGCGGAGAGCTGGCAGTTGGCTTTTACACTTGCCCGGCAGCCGAATTAGAGCAGCCGCCTGTTTCTTTCGCCCACGCACGGAGTCATATAGCCCAGAAAAAACTTCCCGGGACTTTTAGCTTGTCCCAAGAAAGGAAAAAAAAAAAAAAAAAAAAAAAAAAAACCCACATGCAAACAGCTGGAAGAGCTAAAATCAGAAACCACTAACCGCCACGGGAGCGCAGTGCGCGCAAGGGTTTGGTTCGGTTTATTTCAAGACGCCCCATTTAACAGCGCCTGGTATATTGTGTATTCGCTACCCATCACCTACCCCGGGAAGACTGCTAGTGCCGCCGAGCCCGGGGAGGACAGTGGCGTTTGTCAGAGATGTGACTCACAGGACTACAGCGTTAATTTGTATTTTTAAATCGTGTCCATCCGGGAAATCCTGTCCTCATCCACACTGTACAGTCTGAATGGTTTGAGGTTCCAGATGAAATGCTTTTGAAATTTAGTAGCAGAAAACAATCTGACTGCTGTATTCACTGATTAGAGTGCCAGGTTAATAGTTATGTGAGCCATTCTGTCTACTGGTTTTTTCTTTTTGAAATTTCCCTTTCCGTTTTAATAATTACGAGAAAAATTAAGGCGGTTACAGTAGGAGAGAAGATAGCTTTTAAAAGATTGAGACGACATGTTACACGCTGCCCTATGTTCTCAAAAAGAAAACTCCCTGTTTGAGAGCTGTTCGGTTATTTCAATTTGGTAATTTTCTGCTTCGGAAACCGGAGGATAGGGATGACTGAGCTTTTTACAGAGTAAGGGGGAATGTGGCATTGGCCCACTGAGAAGGACGTGATAAATGTTTTGCTGGTGACTGTGCCAGCGATACAGCAGCCTCTCCCCACCCACGGGCTCCTTAGCACCAGTCTTGAGGGAGTGATTTTCCCTTAGGTAATTAAAGATGTTTTAGATAGGGATATGAATAGGAACATTTCATTATCATATTAACCAATTACCGAATCTGCTGATTAAATCAACATTTAGATCAAATGTTGCATATGAAATGGTTTTTGTTTCAGTGGATACTATATTTTGCTCAAAACATTGTATTTAAGTTTCCGTTGAAGTGTAAACAGAAGTCCCCGCTGAAATCGCTAAAGAATATTTTATATTAGCTATTTTAACAATACCACGGCCAAAAAAAAAAAAAAACCAAACAAAAAAAACTTTTTAAAGGCTTGCACAGTTTAAAATTAAAAAAAAAAAGACTTGTTAAATTTAATTGAGCAGAATTGAGGTAGTTCTGCAATACTTTGATACTGTACTCTGTAAACTTGACTGCTTGTAGAGGAGTAATATTGTATTATTGCATCAGAAAGGAGGAATACATCTTATTTCCTTTCCTTTTCCCCCATTGATTTGCCTCTTTTGTGGCTCTATTTGTGGAGCAATTTTATCAGACATTATGGAGACTTTCGTAGGCTTTTGGTGAACCAATAATTACACAATTGACAAAATAAACACGATATGTTTACAAGTAACACCTAGGAGTTTGCCCTAGTACTTTACACAGGGCTTGTTAGGGGAATTTTTAGTTTGTTCTTCCTGAGCTATGTCAGGTAGATCATGCATGTTTGTATCTCTTCTTTTTTAGACAAGATGTGAAATGGAGAAGTATCTGACACCCCAGCTTCCTCCAGTTCCAATAATTCCAGAGCATAAAAAGTATAGACGAGACAGTGCCTCAGTTGTAGACCAGTTCTTCACTGACAGTGAAGGGCTACCTTACAGTATCAACATGAACGTCTTCCTCCCTGACATCACCCACCTGAGAACTGGCCTCTACAAATCCCAGAGACCGTGCGTAACACACATCAAGACAGAACCTGTTGCCATTTTCAGCCACCAGAGTGAAACGACTGCCCCTCCTCCGGCCCCGACCCAGGCCCTCCCCGAGTTCAACAGCATATTCACCTCACACCAGACCGCAGCTCCAGAGGTGAACAATATTTTCATCAAACAAGAACTTCCTACACCAGATCTGCATCTTTCTGTCCCTCCCCAGCAGGGCCACCTGTACCAGCTACTGAACACACCGGATCTAGACATGCCCAGTTCTACAAACCAGACAGCAGTAATGGACACCCTTAATGTCTCTATGTCAGCCGCCATGGCAGGCCTTACCACACACGCCTCCGCTGTTCCGCAGCCTGCGGTGAAGCAGTTCCAGGGCATGCCCCCTTGCACATACACAATGCCAAGTCAGTTCCTTCCCCAGCAGGCCACTTACTTTCCCCCGTCACCACCAAGCTCAGAGCCCGGAAGTCCCGATAGACAAGCAGAGATGCTCCAGAATCTAACCCCACCTCCATCCTATGCTGCTACAATTGCTTCTAAACTGGCAATCCACAATCCAAATTTACCTGCCACTCTGCCAGTTAACTCGCAGAACATCCAACCTGTCAGATACAATAGAAGGAGTAACCCCGATTTGGAGAAACGCCGCATCCACTACTGCGATTATCCTGGTATGTGTCCCTCCGCAGCTGAAGCATCGGCAGCTTCTGCATGTGTGATTGTGTGCTTGCTTCTCTCTCAACCCCAGCCTTTACATTTACATAGGAAAGTTGTGCTTGACAGTTAAAAACAGAAGTTACTTTTGTTCTTCTCGTGTCCTGTTTCTATGCTTTACCCAGTAGGCAACTAAGCATTTCCTCTATTTAGCTTATTTTATGTATTGCAAAAATGGCTAGAACATTCTGGTGAAGTGTTGCCCTGGATAGTTTTCTCTTTGATATTGAAATTTTAATTTCATTTAGTTACTTTAATAAATCTCATTCTAAATAGGGACAAGACTGTCCATGGGACAGATTTAACCTTGGTTCTGATAGCATATATTCATTCGTGGTATACGTGACCCAAAATGCAAATTGATAACCGTAACAAATAGATCTCCAAATTGCTAGTGTAAGCTGGTTTATGATTAATTCAGGGCATGATCTATTGATATGAATACATAATATGGAATGACATGCTAAGTGAAAACCAAGAAATGTAGGTGTACAGAAAATTATAAGCATTTTGGATAATGGTCTAGTGTTGTCAGCTCTACAGCCATTAAAATTAAAAACATATAGTAGCTCTTAAATCACTGAAGTATGTATTACCAGTAAAAAGAGCCTACTGGACTAGAAATACAGATTTTCCATTTGTCCCTTGGTTCAATTACCTGTGTTCTTTCCTACTAAGTGATTCTTGAAGCAAATCACTTTATGCCTTTAATCAGATAATGGGGGGAGCTCCTTAATATTTTTAAAACTGAAAGCTTCAAATATTTCATCTAGCATGAAATTTCTTCCGTAAAGCCAGATTTTAAACACTGAATCATCACATGTAAAGATTTCAAAAGGATCTCAATGATGAGCCAGTCTTCCTCTCTCTCTTTATTTTAGGTTGTACAAAAGTTTATACAAAGTCTTCTCATTTAAAAGCTCACCTGAGGACTCATACTGGTATGTAATTTTCTTGTTAATTCTGTGAGTTGTGTAAATAGTGTAAGTGGTATTCAACCTTTTAAAAGCCAGCACGTTTGATCTCTTCTTTCTTCTGTCAACTTTTATTTTTTAATGGCCTACCTTTTCAGCACTGGCTTGGCTCAAAATGCAGTTCCATGAGGAAGTCTGGTTTCCCAAAGGCTGATTTTTGCTTACGGAGGGCTTGTCCTGTCACCTTGCAGTGAATTAATTGCCCAAAAATATAAACAACAGTGTTTAGTAATGGACTTCTTAAAACCTTTACTAGTGATGCTACTCCTGTCTTGAAAGAAAAAAAAAATTTCTTCCTCTGACTTTTACATTTAGCATGTATAGCATTAACTGCTTAATACATTATCTTTATTTCCCCTGTTTAAAATATTTATGTTTGATATATTTGCTGTGCTAGGTGAAAGGTAGGTCTAAAATCGAGGAATATTAAAATCAGATGGTTTAAAAAAAAGAGGTTACGGTTTAAGTTATTCTGTGTTCTATCCCAGCCTATATTTGATACATTTGGGAGTCTATATTTTTAGTTTATACTTCATCCTTCTTCAAAACATACTTTTAGCCGGGGATTTAGCTCAGTGACTCTGCCGCTTGCCTTGCAAGCACAAGGACCTGAGTTCAATCCCTGGTACTAAAACAAAAAGAACATACTTTTAAATTTAGCCCCCTTAATTTTATAAGTATTTTGTTAAATCCATAGATAGCAATCTTTTATTTTTTAATTTTAAAACTTTCAGAACCCATTTTGAGATGCAACATGGTAGCACACACTGTTAAAAGCCTCCACATACCCATAATATTTTCAAATATATAGATGGTTACTGTTTGTCATTTTCTTTAAAGAATAGCCCTAAGGGGAAGAACTTATATAAAGTGATTATGCTTTTTTCCTCAGTAAATACAGCCTTACCTAAAGTTCAAAGAATAAGTTTGCTAATAAAGCAGTGACCTAGCAAAATGTATTATTCCATCATTGCTATGGAAACCAAAGTATTCAACAGTTCCTTTGAATGGGTTGTTGGATTAGTGTGAGGACTTGAATCTCCCCAGGCTAGATGTTACTATGGAAATTGAGTTTTGATAAATGAAGTAGCTATCTCTAACTGCTGCATTAAAAAGTAAAAGCCTTTGAACAAAGGTCAGTGCTGAGATAGAGCCCTGAGAAGAATATGGTTGCAGACGTTTTGTATGCCTGTTGAGGAAGTATTGCTTGATATCCAAATGACAAACACTACCAATTAAACCCAGAATAAATCGTATTGGCACCGGCTTTTTGAGAAGCTGCTTTTTAAAGAAATGTTATCTCCTGCATTTATCTATAGGGTTATTTTGGCCTGAGCTTGTTTGATGTAGACAAATTGAATATGGAAAAGGAAAGGTCCTACGTAAGCAACCTAAGGCGGAAATTGTGTTAAGTACCCACAAAACAATGAAAGCATATAATAAAAACTTCCACCTAAAGTTTTCAAAATATAAATGACAAGTGCCAGGAAAATAGTCCATATAGAAACCCTAAAATAATTCTTACAGCCCATATGTTATAATAAGGAAATATAGAAAATGAGTGTTTCTGTGAAATTGTTTTCTTTTTCTCTTGGAAGGCCTTGAAACTGGAGATAGGAAGGAGGGAATCGAATACATTTTCATGGGGTTAAAGTCTGCTAATAAAAGAAGAGTACAATTGCATAGAATTGCGTGTTAATCAGTTGCTTATTGCAGGGACGTAGTCAGGCCATATCTAAATAGCCTTTCAACCCTTGTCAGGGTTTAGTGCTCTGAATGCTTGTATCTGGGATTCTGGAACTTGACCTGCTGGCAAAGAAATTTAATAGTGGGTTGTCTTAACAATGCTCGCACTAACTAATAAAAACAAATGAAAGAGGACCCAGGCCTGGTTTGAATCTCATACAGCAAATTTTTCGCCCGATCATAAACATTGTTGCCCCCATCATCTAATGGGTGAGACCATATAATCTGGTTTAATAAAGTTTTGCTTGATAGTCTTTCAAATGCCTGGGGAGGGTTTGTACCCGACTTGCTCATCTGGCTAAACCCGTTCTTGGGTAATCACAGAGCACTGAGGTTGTTTTCTCCTCATTTCTCTGGTTTCTAGACAGTGCCTTTTAAAATGACTTGTGCGCTCTCATTGCCTCCCCACCGTCCCACCAGTTGGTTTTCAGTGAGTGTATCTGAAGCCAGCAAAGGCTTGTGTTTTTTGCCCATCTCCCCCTTTTTAAGGCTTAGGTAGAGGAGACATTTTTTCTAAATAACTCCTCTCATTTAATAGCTTGTTTTGTTTCTTTTTATCCCCTTTCTTCCCACATGGACAATTTCTTAAGGAACTTTAAAAACTATATGACAGTGTTGATCTTGTATTTGATGACAAGAGATGTTATTCTTTCAGTGATTGCAGTTTTGCAGGCAGAATTTGAAGCACCCTAGCATTTCTTTGGAAAATACTTGTAATTGCTTTAAAATGTCAAGTTACTGTTTGAAAAATGATTTAAGCAGTTCAAGCAACCTACATCTAGTTCTGTTTAATTACTTATTCTGGATTTTTAGATTGTGAAAGATTCTTTACAGTACTTAGATTTCAAATTGAGCCTAAGCAAATAGTCTTTACAAAGCAGAACTGTATTTTAGACAGGGTTTTGTTATGTTGCTTTGTCTGGCCTTGAACTCATGATTCTCTTTCCTCAGCCTCTCATGCTGGAATTACAGGTGCGCACCAACACACCTGGCCTGTGTTTTTTGTTTTGGGTCACCTTCTTAAATCACAAATATAGCATTCAAGTTTTCTGAGTTGATACACTTTGATTACTTTCAAAGCATATGTAAATAAACCAAAATACTACCTTTGTCTGGTCAGGCAGTATGCCTAAAGCATAATTTGCCTTTATTCTAGGAAATAATAAAATTTCATTCGTATGCCAATAACAGACGACACAGCGTATTTACAGACCCTTTTCTGTGGGTGGGTGTTTTTGTGCTGTTTGTAATGCACAAGTGTATACATCATTATCGTGCTTCCAGTTAGAAAGAGTTACGATAGTTATGGCTGCTTCTGCACAACAGTATATCAATACATATTTTCAAATAAAAATATTTGTATTCTTAAGAGTGTGTATTAGGGCTATACCCATTGCTGTGATTCTGAATGGTTTCATGCACTTTGAAAAAAGATTCATAATCACTCTGCCCTTAGGAACTGAGGTAGTATTTTATGCAGACAGTTTACAGGCTTTATGCTTAAAGGCCTTACTATCTCCGCTACTCCCTTACTTGGAATTGAACCCATGGGCTCAGGCACGCTAGGCAAGTGCCCCACTACTGAGCTACACACTTGCCCATTTTCTTAATTTTGTAATGAAGATTTACATCGTTTTCAGCCTCAGCTTTCTAGAACAATATGGAAAACTAGCCATTCTACAAAAAGTCTGTGAGCAACACATACACTTGGCTCAAGTATCTTTCAGACTGGGGCCCCAAGTACTCTATTCTGTGTACCACCGGCTGACAGTTTGAAACACTCCCAAAGAGTAAAACCAGAAATATCGTAGGTGCCCAGGGTACACAGTTTTGAGTAAACCACTTTCAGGATGCTCTGATTAGGAAAAGAATTCCATGTTAAGCCTTGGAAGGGTTTTTAGCCTAAGACTCATTGTAAAGGGAGTGAATTTTTGTATTCTCCCTTCCTTGGTTACACACACTTTATTTCCCTATGACATAAGTAAGATGTTACTATATATACTTTAACATCCATAATCTCTACTCTAAATTTTAATTTTACTTTTCAGGTTGGATACTAAATCTTGAGGGGCCTGGTGAATTGGTACATGCCTATAATCCCAGCGCTCTGAAAGGCTGAAGGCCGAGGCAGGAAGGTCCCAATTACAATCCTAGCCCTGATATATTTAGTGACCTGTCTCAAAATAAAAAAAAGGACTAGGGATGTAGCTCAGGGAAGGCCCTGGGAAAATTTCTTCTCCTCTCCTCTCCCTTCCCCTCCCCTCCCCTCCCCTCCCCTGTCTTCTCTTCTCTCCTCTCCCCTGCCCTCCCGTCCTGTCTGTCCTGTCCGTTTCTCCCCTTCCCTTCCCTTCTCTTCTCCCTTCTCTCCCTCCCTCCCTCCCTCCCTTCCTTCCAGACCATCTCCTTACGTAGCCTAGGCTGACCTCACATGCATGGGGATCCTCCTGCCTCACACCTGGCCCACATTTAATTTAGTTGTTTGCTCCAAACTAATTAGATTTGGGTTTAAAAACAATAGTGTTGATAAGTTTTTCATTATAAGCAGTTCACCACTGAAAGAGAACATTCATAATGTTCTATGTTTTTGCCCCCTTTTTTGGTAAAACTATGGAAAAGGAGTGAAAATGCTGTTTAAAAAAAACCTATAGAAAGGGTTTCATTTTAAGTCAGGCTTAATAGTTGGAGTCCTACAATGTCGTTTTTGTCTTCTTTTGAGACAGGTCTCTACCAGGCTATTTCAAGCTGTCCTTAAGCTCACTATGTCGTTCATTGCTGACCACAAATCAGCAATTCTCTTGCCTCAGCCTCCAGTGCTGGGGTTATAGGCTCATACCACCACGCCCAGATAAGATCCTACAGTTTGAACCTAGGATATATGACTGTTGGTTCTCTGTGTAACCTGTTTTATAAGGATAAATAACACTGAGGAAAGATTTTGCAGGATGACATTTAGTATGCAGTAAATTTGGGTATTTAAAAACTGTTACAGAAGGCCGAGAAGGTGGTGCACACTTGTAACCCCAGAACTCGAGGCTGAGGCAGGAGGGTCACCAAGAGTGTGATGCTTGCTAGCCAGGGCTACACAGGGAGTCCATGGCCAGACTGAACTACACAGTGAGAGCCTATCTCAAAAAATGAAACAACACGGGCCAGGATTTAGCTCAGTGGTTCTACCGCCTGCTTCACAAGCACAAAGTCCTGAGTTTGATCCCCGGTACCAA